TGTGTAGAGGGAAACCTGTTTTTTTCCCCCCATCCTCATTGTTCTTTCCTCTTAACTCTATCTTCACATAAACAGAACACTGGTGGTGTTCTGGGAGACACACACTGTTGAAAGTAGGGGCAGAAACCTAACAATTTCCAAGAGTGTCACTGTGTTAGTGTGTGGTACCAAAACCAGCAAGCAGTCCTGCAGCACTTGAAAGACACAATAATTTATTATAGCATTATCTTCTGTGGGCTATGGACCACTGCATAGGAACATAAGAAGCATCTTAACCCAAAGTCAGACCTTTGGCCCATCTAGTCCAATATTGTCAACTCTGACTGGCAGCAGTTCTCCACTATTTCAGAGAGGAATGTGTCCTATCTCAACCTGGGATCCCTCTTATTCGCAGTCTCCCTTCAAAAATACGAACAAGGTGCAATTCTGCTTTGCTTCCAAAATCAGGTGAGATCAGGTATGTTCAGGGTGATATGGTGGTCAGTAAGAGATACATGAAGAGTTATCCAAAATGTCATGTATTTGTAACACTGCACACGTTTGGGTTGTGATCCCAGATAGTGAGGTCAAAAAGAAATTCAAATGCAGAACATACAGTAATGATGATGGAAAACACATTGTTCACATTTGCCATCCACAAAGCAATTGTTGCTGCTCATACAAAATGCTCTGGCACCAGACAAGCCTGTTAATACATGCTGTGTGACAGAAATCCATTATTCTCATTCAAACTTCTGCTGTAGACAGGAATATGAATTGTACCATTCAGGATTATCTTTGTCTTCCTTTGAAGTTTCTTTAGTCCTAATATACGTTGGCTCTGGGGATACTCAGTGTGATACTGTATAGTGGAGAGGGCGATGGACTAGGACTCAGGAGGCCTGGGTTTGAATCCCCCTCAGCCAGGGAAGGTCACTGGGGATGTGGAACTGGTAAAACCACTCTTTAAATATCTCGCCTTGAAAGCCTTATTAGGGCTGCAAAAAGTTCAAACTTGATGGCACATAACAGTGTTGCCCCAGCTCTTTACAAGCATGATCTTATTGTTCAGCACAGCAAGTCAATGACACCTAGTTTCTCATTACTTAGGAAAAACGAAACAGTAGCAAAAAATATAAAGCTGTCTTCCTTTCATCTGGGTAAAAACATAGATTAAAAATGATACTGTTGGTTTCTGAAACTCAATGATTCCTGATCTTTCACTATCACAGAGAATCTACACTCATAGAGATCTGCCCAAGGATCTCCAAGGATGAGAAAAATTTAGAAGAGGTTTAGCAGTTTAGCTGAGCCCCAAAACTGCATTTCTTAAATTTAATTTAAAGGCGCTTGGACTTAAGATGAGTCCCATTTGTTGGGCTGCAATGCTATTAAAAGAGCAGTGTTTTCAGCCTTGTAATAAGGAAAATTAGCAGCAATGTGATTTATGCTCTGTGCTGCAGACATAACTTTGAAAGTTACCATACGAGTGTGGGAGAGTTCATTTAAACTGCATAGAGGATGGATGTGAATAAGAATGTGAACAAGCTAGCTTAATTTCATAAGAATAATTGTAAATGAAACTTGATGTTTTTTAAATGGAAGAAGAATAGAGAGTGATCGTTTCGTTTAGTCGTTTAGTTGTGTCCGACTCTTCGTGACCCCATGGACCAGAGCACGCCAGGCCCTCCTATCTTCCACTGCCTCCCGGAGTTGTGTCAAATTCATGTTGGTTGCTTCGATGACACTGTCCAGCCATCTCATCCTCGGTCGTCCCCTTCTCCTCTTGCCGTCGCACTTTCCCAACATCAAGGTCTTTTCCAAGGAGTCTTCTCTTCTCATGAGATGGCCAAAGTATTGGAGCCTCAGCTTCAGGGTCTGGCCTTCCAGTGAGCACTCAGGCTTGATTTCCTTTAGAATTGATAGGTTTGTTCTCCTTGCAGTCCAGGGGATTCTCAAGAGCCTCCTCCAGCACCAGAATTCAAAGGCATCAATTCTTCGGCGGTCTGCTTTCTTTATGGTCCAGCTCTCACTTCTATACATCACAACAGGAAAAACCATAGCTTTGACTATTCGGACTTTCGTTGGCAAGGTGTTGTCTCTGCTTTTTAAGATGCTGTCAAGATTTGTCATCGCTTTCCTCCCAAGAAGCAGGCGTCTTTTAATTTTGTGGCTGCTGTCTCCATCTGCAGTGATCATGGAGCCCAGGAAGATAAAATCTGACACTGACAGAGAGTGATAGATTGATTTAATATGCACCCCTTCCTAATGTCCTGTTAGGGCAAAGAAATGACCCCTTCTTCCTAAATTGTGGATAGACTCATTCTTGATAGCAGAATGCTCTTGCAACTGTACTTTAAAAAGAAAAGTAAAATATAACTGCTTAGAGACACCATAATTCTTCTGCATGGGGGTGGGAATTCTTGCACAGTAATCAGAACTATTGTATCTGTGGGCATCCATGGGGGTGGGAGACAAAGCGGGATTGCTTGCCACTCTTTGGAATTGTAAATGTATTCATTCTTTTAATGTACATAGGCACACTGTGTTGTGGTGAAGCATGCTGTGGACACAGTCCAGCTTTCCCCACAAATGCCTGTGGACTCACTTGATGATGGCTTCAGAACTCTAAAGTACTAATGTAATTGGTGGGTGGGTGGTGGTGCTGTGGGTTAAACCACAAAAGGCCTCTGGGCTGCAAGGTCAAAAGATCAGCAGTTCGAATCCATGCAACGGAGTGAGCTCCCATTGCTTGTCCCAGCTCCTCGCCACCCTAGCAGTTTGAAAGCATGCAAATGCGAGTAGATAAATAGATACCACCACGGTGGGAAGGTAACAGCGTTCTGTGTCTAGTCGCGCTGGCCACGTGACCAAAGAAACTGTCTATGGATAAAGGCTGGCTGAATGGCTTGGAAATGGGGATGAGCACCGCGTCCTAGAGTCAGACACGACTGGACTAAATGTCAAGGGGAACCTTTACCTTATGTAGTTGGGGCTAGATAGTGACATCTTAACCATACATAAAGAATGTACACAATGCATTCAAATTAAATGATGGTATGTGTAGCCTACATTTCATCCCATAAACTCAGGGTAGTAGCACACATGGATCTCTCACTTCGTCCTCACAGTGTCCCTGTAGAATTGGTTGGGCTCAGATAAAGTAACTACTGTAAAGTCCCTAGTGGCCCACCATAGGGAAGATGCTTTATTTTATTATGATTTTTTAAAAATGCAGCTGCAAGGTAGTGATTAAGATGCATTCTCCCCCTACTGCACCCATATTCCACTCCTGCAAGGCAAAACATACAAAAACCACTGGAGGGAGGGAATTACAGAGGGGGAGGGAGAAAATAAATTGGATCCCTTTCCCTCCTTTACCAAGACAAACAAACACAGACAGAGAGACAATCCACAATCATAGAAGATCTGTTTAAGGATCTCCAAGGAAGAGAAAATTAATAGAAGTTTAACAGTTTGGTTGAGCCCAAAAATAAATCTAATTTGGAGGGAGCAAATTGTAATTGCTAACTTGTCATTTAAGTTAATGGCTACAATAAAGCTTTGCCAGAAAAAAAAGTTTTTAAAAACCCCACTCACTGTTTTATTCCCTTTCTCCTGCTATCCATACTTTGAGCTTTGTAGAGAAGGAAACAGCTCCATGAATTTTTAGAAACTCATCTCTCACCCACCCCATCAAACCTTTTCTCTCTCTTTCCTCTCCTTATAATTTCCTCTCCTTATGATCCTCTCCATTGATTTCCAAGCAGATCCCAGTCATAGCCTCAGGGAATCAAAGGACAGCTTCCTTGGACAGACGTGGACTTTCCAGGAGGTATCATACACAGAACACAAAAGGAGCACCATTTGGCTCCACAGATGACCAGCTCCCCCTGCCCCAGCTGCCCTAATGGCCTGTTGGTTTAAAATCTTTTAACCTGTAAGGTTAATGAAATAATGAAAGCTATCAGGCTTGCATTCATTCATATGCCCTTCCATTTCTTTACTCTGCACATGCACCAAGGCAATATTTCAATATTTGATGAGACCTACTCTTGGGAAAAGTGTTAACAGGATTTAGTTGCTTAACAGTACAAACTGATACAGATTTACTCAGAAAGGACTTTTTATTTTTTTCTTCTTACTCCTACACAGGAGAAGCTCCTGGAGTAACCCTAATTTATGAAGGGTGATCATGAGCTGTTTATGCTTTTACGTATAGGTTCATTTATTTATTAGCTGCATATATAGTATGTATGTTCTCCACATTTTATTTATATTTTCAGTATATCAGCTTTTCCCAAAACACATATTTTTGACAATATTTGCATGAACGGAGGGTGTGATTAGAATACACTTAAACTGCAGTCCTGTATTCATGTAGGAATGAATTGCTTCTCAGCAGATATGCATTGAATTATGTCATTAGACTTCTTTACGCCATAGAAACTTAAGGCTGCTACTTAAACTGCTGCATTAGGCAGTGCTATGGCTCACTCCCACCACTGCTAAGTACTCATAATAAATTAAGCCTACAATGCTGTATCCACTTACCTGGGAGCAAATCCAACTGAACTCAGTGGAACTTACTTCAGGGTAAACATGTAAAGGATTAATTGAGTTTAATCACTACTTAATTTCTAAGGATGCAATTTAAAAAGTGAGGAAACAACACCGCAACACAACTGTTGAAAGTATAAGTTCACATATTCCTTTTCTCAAACAGGAAAACAGGCAGTATTTATGGGGGGAAAGGGATCAAAACATCCCATTCTTTTAATGTACATAGGCACACGGTGTTGTCGTTCGAGCAGGATTAGGGCTGGTGAGTGTTTCCACGGGAACCACGGGGAGGAATATCACGGGTCTCCACGTGGGGCCAGGAAAGAAGCGCCCCTGGAACCCCGGAGAGTCCCTGCCGGCCCGAGCTGGCCATCCTGGGCGATCTGGGCCAGCGCTTCGAGTTTTGCTTCCTGTGTAGCTTATCCCAGGCTTAGGTACGGGGTCTTCTTGCTCTTCCGAGCATGTTCCGGACGCCGCCTGGAGAAACCACCGGCCTTTTTCAGAACCACTCCACCGAGCGACACGGCTGGGGAGATAAGAGCCACCCGATCAGTGACCCCCGCGCCGTCCAGCCACCGGGAGGAGGGGGAGGGGGGCGCGAAGGGGCCCCCCGCCCGGGCAGCGCCTGCGCTCTCAGCCTCCTCTCGCCTGCCTCGGAGGTCGACGCGGCAGGCAGGCAGGCAGGCGTCGGAGCGGGAGCTGGCGAGCGCCCGATGCCTATTTTAGTCAAAAACCTCCGCTCGGGGGGATCGAGCGCGCTTCCCGCAGGCTCCTCTAGGCGGCGCCGGAGAGCGAGAGGGTGCCCTCGGAAGAAGGAGCCGGTCGCCGCCCGAGGGGCCGCCGAAGAAAGTCCGGAGAAGGAGCCTCGGAGGCGACGGGACGGGGAAGGGCGCCAAGCGGTGAGAAGGCGAGGACG